ACTTGAGAAAGATAATCCCATTGGCAGCACATAGCTTTTTTTTTCTGACTTGGACAAGGTGTTTAATTTTGTTTGAGATAATGTTGCAAATGCAGATACTATGGTACCTGCTTCATAAATCTCCCATAAGGATGGATCTGAGTTTGCATATTATCTAGTTGAGTGGGGAAATTATGGTTGATGAGATACCCTCTTTAAGGAGTAGCACTATGCTACCTTTAATGGCCATTTCCATGGTGGTTAGTGCTAAATATTCAAAGTCTAGGTCATAATCAGACTATAATGGTGGTTTATTTGTGCACAGGATATAAATATTTACATAAGTAATGACAAACATTGTACATGTCATAAACAGTAACTATTTAGAGCTAAATTGTGAGTGCATTAATTTAGATTTTCTCAATACCACACCATAGAAAATGTGAGCAGTCAAATGGTGGAAAATCATTTGAAATGAACAGGAGAGAGAACAGGAGAGAAATGAGATTAATAGATGACATGGACATGAAAACCAGAGTGAATAGCAAGCTTTAAGGTCAGAGAACATTAGAAGAACATCACTATGATCAGTAACCATGCCTTTTAGCCCAAAGAATAAACTGTCCCACTGTATACATGGTGTCCTCCAAATATAGGACTATGAAATCCAGTCATGACTTTTGCACCATTATTTTATCATTACTTATTTCCATAACATAGTGTTTCTACAAATAAGCCTACCTGCCACATACCACTCTCATTATTGACTGATTAAGTGATGGGTAACAAATGAGACTTTTTTCAATTAAGCACCGTATTAGTTTCTTAATATATGACAATCACAAAGTTACAAGATCACTTCCAACATTAAAAAATGTTATCTACATGATGATTAGATAAGTAAAGGTAATCAAGTATGAAAACAGAGATATTTATAAATATAATTCTTGTATCACATCTCAAGACAATATATAGTTTGAAGTACAGAACTTTTCATATACCTCCCCCAAATCTCATTGATTTTACTCTGGTGCTTCACTGATATGATTATATTAGCAGAGGTAAAATTCAAACATCTCTCTGTGTGTGTGTATATATATATATATATAATATAATATATTGTGTGTTTAACATATATAAGATATATAGATGTAATATATCTGTATTTATACTCTATATGCATATATATAACTTATTAAGTTCAAGTAAACATGTCCAAATAGAAACTAGCAAATTTTTTAGACAGGGAAGATCCTATGTAATATAGCTTGTCTATAAGATAATTAAAGAAAGAACCTGAAACACCCATGAGTAAATTCTGCATTCCCCTGGAAATCCAACAACCAGCTCCTACGCCCACTTCTTTGCATACATTATGTAGAGCAAAAATGTTTGTCCTGGCTGTGGTGTTTGCACCTCTGCAGTAACAAGCTGTTTTGGAGTAATACCTTAAATGAATATTAGTAACATTTTCTCATTCAATCTGCTTTGATCTAACATGAAACTGAAATATTTTGGTGTGGCATATATAATTTTTTTCTGGCATTTACAACCTAGACTTCTTGAGTTTAGTATGAGTCTCACCTTTGCTCGTTAGTAAAAGCCTACATTTGAAAATCAAGATCCTTATGTTTTGTCTATATATTGGTAAATTACACTTTCCATTCATTTCTTCAGATCCCACTGCTTTGGAAGAGTTAAATACTCTTCTGGAAACTGGCAATTTGTTGGTGATCAGTATATGGACTCTGGCCTAATAAAACTTACAAGTCATGGGCTACTAGAAAATAAATGAGCAGAATTGTCCCAAAGAAAGCAGAAAAGAATAGGTGTTGTCATAGGCTTGCTAAGTAATAGTTACATTTTTAGGTGTTTGACAGACAACAATTTTCATATATACAATAACCTTAACCCATTCAAATTTGCTTTACCTGTGAAGGAACTGAGGCACAGATAAGTTAGTATCCTTGGAGCCAATATAAGGCTTGTAAGTGATGGCTGTGAGATTTAAATCCAGTCAGCCACCCTGGCTAAGTAGTTTGACTATTTCAAGAGATAGGCTCCTGAGAGCAAATGATTTCAGGCAGCTTATTATTTTTGTAACTAAGGCAAAAAAGAAGAATAACTAGATGCAAGGTTTTGTGTTTTCAAACAAATACAATAATGTACTGGGGTATTTTCCCTCTGGAACAAATCTCAAGTCTGAATGAACAACATAGGATTTGCCTAAAAGAATATTGCAGCAAGACACACTGGACAACAGCTTTGACAAATAACTTTTTCTCCTACAGTAGATATGATTTTTATTATGAACACTTCACACAAGCAAAAGTTACCCAACCATTATCCTTCATAATACAAGCACAGTTTCTGAGACCATCTGGATGGCGAGATAGGGAATTTATTCATTAAATTGTCTGTCTAAAATATCAGATGTCTAAAGATTGCACAGGTGCTGGGTTTCAATCAATTTGCAAGCAAATCCTCTCATAACTACCTTTAATTACAGTTTCTCTATATTGCTGACTACCATGAGAACCAGGTGAGAGAAGCAGAAGAGACCTTCTCTAGGGAAAGTTGAAAAGACAGGCTATTATGTCCAGCTCAGAAGGAAGGTAACCTTCTTGAAGTATTGGGACAGCAGCACCTTTATTACTAGTTCATTCGCTCCTTCCTAACACCAGCATTTCTGTGCCTGGCCTTATATTAGATAGTGGATGTAGGTGGACAAATATTACTTATTTACAAATAGCTTCCAATATTAGCAAAATCTAACAATTATTTCCCCCCAAATACTTAATTTTTGTTAAACTCTTAAATTCATTCTTGGTTAAGAACTGAGTTTTCTATCACAGAATATGAATTTCAGTAACAGTTTCTCAGTCTCAGTGGCCAATGACATTGGGCTCAATTAATTCCTTGTAGCAGGGTGCTAGTTCATGCATTTTAAAATAGCAGCATCCTTGGTCTGTATGCTTCAGATGCCAATATACTATGCTACCCAAGTTACAAGAACCAACAGTGACTTCAGATATTATCTCTGGATGAAAACTTCGACAATAATCTACTATACATTTATTTCAAAATAAAAGAAACAGGCCAGGTGCCAGTAGTTCACACCTGTAATCCTAGCAACTCAGGAGGCTGAGATCTTTGGGTCACAGGCTAGAAAGTCCATGAGACTCTTATCTCCAATTAACTTCCAAAACCTTTTTTTAAAGCCAGAAGTAGATCTGTGGCTCAAATGGAAGCTCAGGGACAGTGTCCAGGCCCTGAGTGGGACCTGTGGACATGGAGGAGAAATTGGAGACTGTAGATCAGGCACACAGGACACAGGACAGATGTTCATCAGCTTGAGAGATGTCATGTTAGTGATGACAAACTCTCCTCTCTTCTTGCTTACAGACACATAAACTGTATATACTGGCCATATTGGAGCACTATGGGACTAACAACAAATAGTTCCTCCAAAAATCAATGACCTCCACAGGACAGTTCTGAAGCTCCAGTGGCCTCTATTACCTCATATATTTAAACCTAAATCATGCTTTATTTCTTTTATAGACTCAGCCTCCAAATATTGAAAAACATGACAGAACATAGGAAGAAAAAGACAGTTTATGGTGACCTTAAAATAAATAGGAGGAAGCTTGTTTCCCTTCATTCCCACTTACCAAATCCCAATAAACCATGTAGACCTTCTAGACAGCATTCTTCCAGTAACTGTGGACTTCCAGTTTTTAAGAGGAAAAACAAATGGGAGGATGACAATATAAATAAACTGCTTAATGACCCTGACCATGCTCCTAATTACCAATTAAATATAAAACCTCTTTCATCTGAAGTAGGGGAGGGAGTAGTGGAGGAGAGAAAATGAGTTTAGGAGAGAACAAATTACCTTTTTAAAATTCTTGACTCCTTTTAGCCCAAAGGTCTTTCTTTTTGATATTGTGAAGCTACTAGAAAAGCCACATGCCTGACTGCCTGAGGCTTTTCCTTGCTAAAGGCATGAAGGAGGCTTTACAAGACCATTTCTCTAGTGAATGAAACCCAGCAGCCCCATCTCTGCACACTTGGAAGGAGGAACTCTTTTCAACTTCTTCTGGGTAAAGACTCTGACTTTAAGCAGGAACAATGTCAGCAAAAAAGGTAACTGACACCTTTGCCTCCAGAGGTCACAATTCCCCTCAAGCAAAGCCTGGATTTTCTACTTTGTCTCTATGGTTGGCTTAAAGTACCCAAAAGGACTTCTAACCTTTATCCTTTCTTACTCCTGCCATTATGAATCCACATGTTGAATATATTCTTAAAGGGTATGATGTCAAAGTAAACCTACGCAATATTAAAAGAAAAACTGCTCCGTGTGGTAGAAAAACAGTAATCAAAGCTTCCCAAACTGGCTTCAAGTGGCATAGTTAAGGGGTGCTGTCTAAAGATACCACCAACTATTTATTTCTGATACAGTGTCCAAAGGCCACCCTGGATCTGCTTCCAACTACCATAATGCTACGACTGGTTGAGCCCTTAGACAAAAAGGCCATGTCTAGGAAATACTACAAGGTCTGCTGTCTCCATTTAAGACAAACCACATCCACATGATGATAATAGGAATGTTTCTGAAATTTCAGAACTGCAAATTGTCCCAAAGAATGTACAAAAACAGTAAGACAAATAATACATGAACAGAATCTTTTCATCATGCAACACTGGCTTCTCACATCAGGAAGATTAAACAGAATATTTATACATAATCTTCATACACATTTGTTTTCTCCCTCTATGAGTATACACATGCTTGTCCGTGGCTGGGTCCTCAAGACCACATATGGCCATGGGTTACACTTTCTGGAAAAGAGTCCAGTTTGGATTTGTTTCTTGCTTAGGATATGTTCTCTGTCTTTTCTCAATTTTTTCGATGTCTGCATACACCACAGACTCTGACTTGTTAATCTTGTCACTGTGATGTCCACCAGAGTCGTCTAACTGTATCTATATAACTGGCCCCCAGTATATTCCCGTTTCTAGTTTTTCCTTTTATAGAGGACCACCAGAATCATGGTGATGAGCAGAGTGAGCCCTAGGACCACAGCAGTAACTATGCCCACTACCACCCTACCTGGCAAATTCCCTTTTTCCATGACTGGCAAACTCTCTTTTTCCACGACTGGCAAACTCTCTTTTTCCACGACTGGCAAACTCGCTTTTTCCACGACATAGAGTCTAATACGGCCAGGCTGGACAACAATGTCAGGAGGGTTTTTGACATCACAGATGTAGGTGCCATTGTGTATAAACTGCATATTTTCTATGTTGATGGATGCATCCTTCTTGTCCAGGTCTCCAGCCCAGCTGATTCTGTCCTTAAATGGTGGATAATTCCCAAAGTATACTTGCCCTTGGAAGTAGTGGAAAAACGACACAGTGGTGTTAGTCCCCTCTGGCCGGAAGCTCCAGGAAACAGTGGTTAGCCGGCCAGTCACATTGGTGGACTTGAATGTGCATGTGAGCTTCCCTTGTGTCCCATTTGCCACAGAGATTTCTTTTGGGGTATATACTTCCAACGTTGACACTCTGGCTGTCAACAGCCAGAGCGCAGCTACGAGCCCCGACCACAGCCAGCGCCTGCGGTGCGAGGTTGCCATCAATGCCCCGAGTCGGGCGGACGCTGCCATGGTCCTCTGGGTGCACTGACCCCGCGCGCCGCTGGGCCCGGGTCCGCACAAGCCGAGGCTCCACCACGTCAAGATTCCTAATGTAGAAGCTTCTTGCAGGATGAGTTTTTCCTCCTCTGAGAGAAAAAAAAAATGGTTACCATTGGTTACTGTGTAGGTCTGAAAACTTTTAAGTCCTGACGGTTATATTTTAAATTATTTTCTTTGCTCATCAATTCAAGCAGATGCCAAGAGGTACTGATCAAGTCTTTCACACCAAATATCTGATTAGGCTCAGTTGAAATCACCCATCAAACACAGTTGTTGTTTTTTTTTTTAGTAATTCTTCACTGTTTATCTTTTCCAAAAGGATTGATCAAAAGTCCCCCTCCCCCAAGGACAAAGTATCAGCAGATCTTCACTTTTTATACCAAAAAGAGAAGGCAAAAATGAGCATGAGTTTGGTACGCAGTTCATGTTCTCTCTGTTGCCAAAGTTAGGCAACAAACGTGGCTTTTGACAGATGTGGCAAAGAGGAAAACATACCCAGCTGCATGATTCAGTGTCTCAAAGGCAAGTAAGTTGCTTAAGAGAAATTCAACTATTTCTTGTACCCAATTGGGGAAATGATCAGATTCTCCTAAAGGAGACAGAAGTAGCCCCACAGCTTAAAGTGAATTCAGTATTATACTGAATGTTCCAATGAGTTTGGAGGAAAGTCTATTATAATAGTTATCCATAGGAAGTGATGCTACATGGGCAAAGTTCAAGTGTGTAAAACATTGTCAATACAGCATTAAAACAATGAGGTGCTAATCGCTGCTGACTTGGATAAATCCAGAGCTAATACAGATTAGAGGAATGCAATTTGGGTATGTATTATCACTTATACCTTTTTCAATCTGTAGTTCCTAAGCCCATGGGTGGATGTAAATGATAATTTCATTCTTAAAGAAGGAAGTAATTGCAGTGCAGCTACTTTATGCAACCATAGATTGCCAGAGTCACATAGTCTCATATTCTCTCTCTCTATCTCTCTCTTTCTCTCTCTCTCTCTCTCTCTCTCTCTCTCTGCTCATGCTAGTTCTGAGGCTTGAATTCAAGTCCTGGGCATGGTTCTTTAGCTTTTCTATTCAAGGTTGCTGCTCTACCACTTTAGCTACAGCTCCACTTCTGGCTTTTTGCTGGTTTATTGGAGATTTAACAGTCTCTTAGATTTGTCTGGCAGGTCTAGCTTTGAACCACAATCCCCAGATCTCAACCTTATGAGTAGCTAGTACTACAGATGTGAGCCACTGGTGCTGGCAAGACTCATATTCTTAACTGGCTATATTGAGAAGATTGTTATCTTTCAAAAACAATGGCCTACCATGGCGATGTGCCTGAATAGATGCTATCTCTCATCTGTATTATGGTATGAGACCATTAGAAAGGGAAAGGAAAACTCTTTGAAAACTACTAAAACACAAACCAAAACAACTCCAAAGGAGCTTAGTGCATTTAGAATTCCCTATCATGAAGATGAGTTATATTGATCTCAAATAATTCCAAAGAAGATATAAATGGAAACAACCATGGTTTTTATAACATAGCCACAAAACATCTTTGACCTATGGATTTTTCTGGTATGTCTGCTAGTGAAAACTTGTGAGGAAGATTAAAAATGGCTGCCTGACTTTGGCTATACCTCATATTTAGACATGAGTACAAGTTTCTTACCATTTCCTCTAGGCCAAACATAACTGATGAATTGCTCATATATTAATTAAAGTCAAAGAAGATTATTTGGGTTTTGAGGCATTGATGTCCCTTTGTAATCAGAAGATAGATGTTTGCTTTCAGTTTACATTAAAGTTTTGATAAAAATTTTTCCAGTTTTCTCCATTTCCTCCTTCTTTTGCTGGTATCGGGACTTGAACTCAGGACCTCATGTGCTGATTTATTTTATTTTGCTTTTTCACCTCTGGTACTCTACCACTTGCACCATGCCTCCTGGTCCCTTTAGATAGTTATTTGCAATGGAGTCTCATAAACTTCTGCATAAGACACGTAGCTAGAATTACAGGCATATACATTTGCCATGTCTTTCTTTTTTATCCTTCCTCTCTGTTCCTCTTTTTCTCCTCCATCTCCCTCTCTCTGCCTCCTCCTTTTAATCCTTTTCTTTCCTTTTTCTCCTTCTCCTCTTCCTATTCCTCCTCCTTTCTTATCTTTCTTTCTCTCAATTTTGGACCTTTTTAATTATGCCATGTTTGTAAAACCTTAAAGTACTGAATATATGACTTTTATATTTTGTGGCTTTATAATGAACCATGCATATATATGTATGTAAATACATATATATGACACTCATCTCTACATAAAATCTTGTATATGTTTAAAAGTATCTCAAACTGTTTTCTGCTATCTATATATTTAATTTTTTACAGTGGACTGGTTTTAATTTCATACAGCTAGTGTATGGTATGTAGTTTAATGATAAATTCAATTTCCATGTGACTGTCACAATTAGGCAAAGGAATTATCTGATTGATACTTTGCAGTATCTTAGTTTTATGTAGGTACTTGTGTTTATGTAGAGCCCCAGCTTGTTTTCATAAAAGATTTCTCCAAAAATGATTGAATTTCAAACTGTTGTCATGTGAACATCTTGAAATGAAAAAGCAAACATGACTCTCCTGATTTGTGTTTTAGATCATTTGTATTTAAAATTAGGTTTAAGTTTTTAGGGCTCTTGAGTCAAACTAAAATATTATAAATCTGTTTTTAATGTTTTCTTGAAATTATTTAATTACAAAATATGATAATGCCATGCCAATAGTAGCTGCCCTTTGGCTTGTTCTTGTCTTTCAAGTTTCTCTGAAACATTTTATATTTGAGAACTTAGACTGAAAAATTGATTGCCCTTTTCTCAGTGGATTTGTGACCCTTTAGATCCACAGGTTATTAATTGCTAAAGTACAAGTATGTAAAATTTATCATAATTTTAACATACTTTTTGTGTCACATTACAGCAAAGCAGCTGGTCTTCTACTACAAGTCTGTTATAATCTCTTAAGGATAGTTCATTCTTTATGAGAGCTAATTAATTAAAATTACATTTTTATTGTGAAATAAGCTTCTATTAATCAAGTTTAAGGTGATATTCTTTGCTATGTAGACAAACAAAATTGAAATATCTTTTTAAAAACAAGTTTCGTTATATAAATAACTTTATTACTATGATTTCCTTTCATATTAATGAGGCCTTTTGGAAAGAGAAATTCAGAATGGTGTGAAGGTTGAAATACTAAAAACCATTTAGTTGATTTTCATAAAATGCAAAATTTGTAAATTCCGTACATGTATGTATACTCACATATGCACACATAAAAACACTTACAAATTTTGGCCCAATGGAATTATATTTAGTGTTTTTTCCTAAACTTTTGTTAATATAACTAAATTCCTTTCAAGCATCCTTTTGGAGCTTGCTTTATATATTGTACTGGGATTAAACAAAATTTTTATAGACCCACATTATCAAAGTTTTTAAAAAGAGCTATATGTTTGTGACTTTTTAAAAATGAAGAACAGCTTTGAGACTTACATATCTAAACATGTATCATTTTAAACTTTTACTCTCATAAAAATGCAGTCTCCTTTTCAATTGTTTGATTGTAGAATAACATTTAATTTTGACACAACTTGAAAATCCCTGACACTGGCATGTATTGTCTGGCTGAGCACATGGAACAATAAAGCATGGGAAAAATTCTCCAACTATTATCTCCCAAGTGATATGGTCATAGGTAGGACAAGGTATGAACAACACAGATTGTGTCCTTATATTAATTAAGTCTATCAGTGCATATTTACTGTGATCTAATTTAGAATGTTTACTAAGTGCCTAAGATTCGCAGTTACAGTTTTGATACCCGGGGGACTTGTAAGTGAACATAAATTCACTAATGAGTACTTCCAAAACCTATTTTGTGAATATCTGATATGATATGTATGGAACCTTACCAATGCCTTTAAAGTACCTTAACACCAGGAATCCATTTTAAGTGAAAACTCTGATTTGAAGCCCCTGACCATGTGTGTACTCACAAAGTATCATAAAATGCCACACTACACTGATCTAAATACATAATAAAGCAGCATCCACTTTACCTTTTCACTGACTGAGACAATGGCCAGTTCTGTTAGGTCACTACCACTAAGAGTGGTCAGATTAATCATGATCTCATAGAAATGGTTGAAATGCTACCATTTTAATTTTTGTTCTGAGTCATTCATTTCAGTGGATAAGACAAATATTTTAGCTCAGAAAAGGTAACACACCCAAACCATAACAATTGCCAATTTCACTAAACTATCAATTTTAATAGACAATCATATTTGAGCTCATGGAAGCAGACTACAAGCTTTTTTCTTCTTTAAAAAATATGACGTCTTTGTGGTATTAACATTCAGATTTTTTCCATTACTAATTACGATCTTGTTGAAATGGCACATTTTTCTAAGAAGAGGTGCTTTGACAAAATATCTTTACCCATTGGGCCACTGGAACATACAAAATAAGACAGAGTCCCGTGCTGGTGTTTGGTACCTGTATTCATAACTGTATTCAGGAAGCTCTGACCTGAAGATGATTTGAAGCCAACCCATGCAGAAAAAGTCCTGAGTTCGAGCCCTAGCTAGCACGGGCACAGTTTTATTTTAATTAAGGAGTGACAGAAGTTTAGAGCATGTGGGAACAGTAAACTCATAATTTCTTCCTGTCATATTATTTAGTGATTTCAACCCTTTTTGAAAATTTCAAAACAAAAATCAGGCAACCTGATATAAGTAATGTATCAGATGCTAAAGTATAAAGAATAGGTAACTTCTCTTCACAGAGAGAGATCATAAAGAAAATGACTACAGCTTAATTAACTAAGAATTTTACTTTTGATAACTGTCTTTCAATAAATTTTTATCTTGCTTAATTTGAAGAATTTAGATTTGTCTGGTGGCTTTAAAAATCTAGCATGTCT